CAAACTGGTCCAAGGTCAGAAGCCAAATGAAGAGTGATACTAAGAGCCTAATGAATCAGTGGAGACAGGACGGTGTAACCTTGCCTGGAGCGGGGAATCAGGGCCTTTTGTAGAGGTCAGCTGTAGGGGTGTAGTGTGCAGTCAGCCGTTCAGCATGTGAGGGCAGGGGACTGACTCTGGAAAATAGGTTGTTGTTTGTGTTTATTTGTCAGTTTTGTTCCGATGCCCCTTTTTGCCACACGACGCAAAACTATGGCAGACAGCCTCAAGGTAATCTGCAATCCCTTTACTTCTTCTTCTAGCAGCACAGGACACTTTGCTTCCGCTGTATCCATGGTAACCAGCAAATCCCTTATGACAACAGCACGTAATGTATTGAATTTGTGATGGTAATGCAATTGGGCTGATCTGATTATGCAAAAAACATCTGAATCATCTGGCGAGAATGCTGACGGTGCCACGCAGATGCACACACCGACAGGAAATGAGGGAAAGCCATTGAAACTGATGGAGGTGAATGTGTTTCTTAACAAATACTTAATTCCCTGTTTTCTGCTGATTTGTATCAATACAAAATTGATGCAGTTAATGTTTGTACCTTTCAGCATGGATAATATTAAAAGTCATGCAATTTTGTTTGAATGTTAGATGTTTTTAACTTGTAATGAAAAGCAAACCATCAGCACTGGGTGTTAAAAGTCCAAATAAAAAGGATAATTAACTCCCCACTGATGAACTGTAGTGTGTAGCAAAGCACAAAGTGCAATGCAGTACAGTGGGCACAACTCAGTACCTTAATCAAACTACCTCACTAAGTCATAAATAAATAAGTAGGGCACTAATTAATACTCCTGATTCTCTCACTTCTCTTGATGACACTAACAGTTATACAGAGTGTGAGGCCTTGTCTTGATCAGTTCATCAAACGGTGTCCCTAAACTGGCCTCAGTTCTTCAAGTGTTCTTTTCTCGTAAGCTTTTATTGGTTTATTGGTTCTACACACATTATTCACACTCAGTAATATTGCCAGTGACATTTTTAGCTGCGACCAGCAGCTCTATAGCTCGCTCTGTCGATTTGTCAGTTGATTGGTTGGTCCAAAAAAATTTCCCACCCTTTTGCAGCCAGTTTTATGCCCTACGAGGTTGAAATTTGGCATGAAGGAAAAGTGTGTGTATGTGAAGGGCTGTGTCTGTGTTCATGTCAGTTGGGTAAAGGGATGTGACAGTGGGAGTGGCCTATGACAAAAAGGTGCATAACTTCTAAACAGCTTCACGACCATGACCAGACTATGGGAAGAGACATACACAGACACACGCGCACACACACATACAGATAGACTGACATATAAAATGTGAATTCCAAAAATGTTGGGATGCCGTTTAAAACGTAAATAAAAAACAGAATCCAAATCCTTTTATATTTAATTGAATACAGTACAAAGACAAGATATTCAATGCTCAAACCGATAAGCTTTATTTATTTATTCATTTATTGTACGCTCATTCTGAATTTGATGCCTGCAACATGTTGCAAAATTGAGACAGGAGCATGTTTACCACTGTGTTACATCACCTTTTCCTTTTTAACAACACTCAGTAAGCATTCAGGAGGTTTTAAAAGTGAAATACTTTACCAATCTTGCCTGATGCATGACTTCAGTTGTTCAACAGTTTGACATCTCCTTTGTCGTATTTTGCACTTCATAATGTGCTACACATTTTCAATAGGGGTCAGGTTTGGCCAGTATACGTAGTACCCAATACCCACACACTTTTACTATGAAGCCGCGCTGTCATAATATTTGCAGAATGTGTCTCATTGTCTTGCTAGAATGAGCAGGGATGTCCCTGGAAAAATCTCATCTGGATGGTAGCATACGTTGCTCCAAAACCTCTATGTAACATTCAATATTCATGGTGCCTTCACAGATGTGCCAGTCACCAATGCCATCGGCACCAACACTCCCCCATACCATCACAGATGCTGGCTTTTGAACTTTGCACTGGTAGCAGTCTGAATGGTCCTTTTCCTCTTTAGACCACAACACACTTTGCCACTTTGTGTCAGTCCATCTCAGAGGAGCTCAGGCTCAGAGAAGTCAGTGGCATTTCTGGATGTTTTTGAAATTTTGCTTTCTCTTTGCATGGTAGAGTCTGAACTTGCATCTGTAGATGCAACAATGAGCTGTGTTAACTGACTATAGTGAAGTATTCCTGAGTCCATGTAGTAATATCCTTTATACAACCATGTTGGTTTTTAATGCAGTGCAGCCTGAGGGGTCAAAGGTCACTGCCATTTAATATTTGTTTTCAGTCCTGCCCCTTATGTGTAGAGATTTCTCCAGATTCTTTGAATATTTTGATGATATCATGGATTTTAGATGGTGAAATTTGTGTGCTGCTGAGAAACATTGTACTTAAACTGCTGGGCTATTTACCAACACAGTTTTACACAAAGTCTTGAACCTAGTGCCGTCCTTGCCTGTGAACGACTGAGCCTTTGAAGGATGCCCCTTACATACCTCATCATGATACTTTAATTTGTTACCAGTTAACCTGTTTTCCTGTGGAATGTTGTAAACAGGTGTATTTTGGGCACTCCACAGTTTTCTCAGTCTTATGTTTCCCCTGTCCTGACTTTTTTGGAACATGTTGCAGGCATCAAATTGTGTAATAGTGTATATTTACAAAAAACAAAAAAGTTTATCAGTTTGAACATTGAATATCTTGTTTCTGTACTGTATTGAATTGAATATAGGTCAAAAAGGATTTGCAAATCATTGCATTCTGTATTTATTTACGTTTTAAACAGTGTCCCAACTTTATTGGAATCGGGGTTGTACCCACACACACACACACACACACACACCAGTTTGCCACATCACCATTTATAGCTGATAAACTAGAGGTATCATTGAACTCAGTAGAGTTCCTTTTTGATTGCTGGGTGAGCCCCGCCCCCTATACACGCCTCTTTCATAACTCATAAACTGTTGTGGGTCATTTGTTGTAGATGCTTGTAGGAGGTGTCACTGGACTCAGCAGAGTTCCTTTTTAGTTGTGACCAGCACCTTTTTACCTCGCTTTGTTGGTTAGTCAGGCAGTCGGTCCAAAAAAATCTCCCCAAATAAAAAGAGTAGAAAGGTCATTGATCTGTTTGCCATAGTAAATTGACTAGTGCAAAAAAAAAAAAGACGATTTTTGTTAGTTGTTATGGTGACAACACATAAGTGGGGCCATAAGGTGTGTCATACTCACTAGTTTGAGAATGCTGCATTGGCTAGTTCCTATACCTGTTATCCTTGCTAAACAGAGAAATACACCCGTACACCAATTCAGGTTTCTCTTTTTCACACCAAGTCTAACGTTGGCTCAATTGCCTGGTTAACTCATCATAACAAAATCCTCATTCAAACTCGACAGAAACAAACTAAAGCACCAGTAATCATCACCAATTAATCAGTCCTCTGTTCCAACAATTACCAGCTCTGATTTGGTGACAATGAATCCTTTATTCACCAAGTTAGATGTGAAAGCATACTGCAGTTTCTCCGCCTGTTCTACTGAGCAGCGGCTCTCACTCGTTCTTCAGAGGCCGCCACAGTAATATTCATTGTGTTTTCACAAACATGCCATCATTGGCTGCAAAAGACACAGGGAAATCGCAGTTACTGTGACATTTTAAAAGCAACGGACTGCTTATATGGAAACATAATGTTACTGCTACACTGCTTGTTTGGTCATTACTGCAAAACTTCACCCTTGTAAGTACACGATTTGCTGTAAGTTGTTTGTTTATATGGAAGTTAGCCTGCCACAGTGATTGCGATGGCAGCGTTACGCATTAAAATTGCTGCTGCTGTGTTGATTCGACTGAGAATGTCCATTCTACTGTTATTCTGTTTTTATGGTTTGTGCCCAAGGATGCTGAAATAGAGGTTGTAGCTATTGTAAATCCATGCTTGTTTTCTTCTTGTGTTAAAATGTGTCTTTAAATAAAAGTGAAAGTCAGTGAACTGAAATGAACCTGAAAGGAAGCTGGTTTCATAATTGTCACCAATAGTTTCTAATTCAGTATATATAGTTTTTAATACATTTTAGTTTGAGACAGTACCACATTGCAATGTCAAAGGAAATCCTTGCAAATGATTATAACTTCAAATAGGGTACATAATGTCCAAGAACATGTCAGTCATGCAGACTTTGCAAGTCATGGCAATAAAAGCTGTGTGTTCCCTCTGGTGTCTTCAGCTACTTGGCATTTAAGTTTTTATTAACCTTAACTACTCCTGCAGGGGTGAATGAGTACATTCAGTCTTTCACAGGAACGCCTTGCTTAATGGTTGCACACATACACCCATTCACAGCTGGGATAGACAGCCTAGTGATAGACACTGAGCATGAGATGGACAATTTAAATTTTCATTTGGGTGTTTTGCTCAAGGGCAAGTTGACTGGAGCATTTGAGGCCAAAGAGAGCATGACTTGTTCAGTCTTTGGACCTTTATCAGTGAAAAGCTCACTTCAATGACTTCCATGCTTCATGTGCTTGAAAACGAGGAACTGAAAAAATAGAATTGAGGTTTTTATATTGCAGCACTTAAACTCAAATTATGTTAGAGGTTAACAGTCTGAGATTAGTGGAGCTTTTTGGAAGAGATTGGGGCAGGTGAAAGCTGCTGTGGCATTATAATCAGCCTTTAGATTCACTGCATTAAAGTAGGATATTAAGTGACAGGGAAACTGGGTCAGTGTCATAACAAGTCATTTAAACCTCTTTGTTTGTGTGTATGTGAGCATATGTTTATGTAATTCAGTTTTATGCTCAGCAGTTCAGTTTCCTGTGTCTAGTTTTAAGTGAGTGGGCGTGTAACGACAGACATGTGTTCCATTCATTAACCTAGGCACCTGCTTTTGTGTTTGTGTGTGTGTGTGTGTGTGTGTGTGTGTGTGTGTGTGTGTGTGTGTGTGTGCGCGTGCGTATGTTCTCTCTTCCAGTGATGCCAACCTCACAGACGTGCTGTCTGACTCAGAGGAGTGTGATTTGGGCAGCCTGGAGCGTTTGGAGCGCGGCAGCACAGACACTCTGGCCAATGGCTGCCGAGCCGACTGTGAGGCCGCCAAGAGGCTGGCCAAGCGCCTCTATCACCTCGAGGGCTTCAAGCGCTGTGATGTGGCCAGACACCTGGGCAAGAAGTGAGCACACAAACACACACAGTAACATGTGCACACATGATGACTGATGGACTGAATAATCACCAGCAACAGTGGAAAACATGTTTACATGACTACATATGTTCAGTATTGGTGTATGGATGAGACATGGATCCACATGTAAGAATACCTAATTGATTTATAAACACGTAAACACACTGGCACAAGCTTACTTTATTCTTATAACACCACCAGAAGAGCACTCTCTAATACAATAGACATTTATATAACACATTCAAACAGTGCCACGTTGATGTGCTGATGCTCTTTTCTGTCTCTCTGCAGTAACGAGTTCAGCCAGTTGGTGGCATCGGAGTACCTGAGCTTCTTTGATTTCTCCGGCCTGTCGCTGGATCGAGCCCTGAGGTAAAGCGCAGTCAGCACTTGGAAGTGATGAGTGTGTGATGTAGACATCTGTACAAATGCGGGTGTGTGTGTGTATTCTTCACTTGTCCCTCTTCACAAGGCATTAGAATTGTGCTAATCAAGCTGTCGTGTTGAGTACAGTTAGCCAGTGTAGCTGACAGCTGCAGAGTGCATCACTGCCTTGTACCTGACATGTTGCTGTCTCAAACGGCTGCCTTCAGCCCATGGTGTGCAGTAAACAGTCCTCATGTGTGCACTTCAGACTGCCCTAGATTAGCATACTGTTGGGAACGTCCTGCATTCATTTGGGTATTGTTTCGATCCTGGATTCCAATACGGTGCATCACTCATAGTATAGCCATAGTAATATGTAGTAGGAATTAAACTTAATTGTCGACATTTCATCATACTGTATACATCTAAATGGTTTATTGAAGGCTACTGTAGTTATCAGTATTAAAGCTGTAGTTGGTAACTTTAAAAAAAACTTTTTTGTGGTGTTTGCTGAAACTTTCACTGCATCCACGCAGCAGTACATGATACAAATAATCTGTAGTGCTTCTAATGGCCTCACTGCACATGAATGAAAACAACCAATCACAGCTGAGGAGTCTGTAATGCAGCTGTCGATCATGTCCGTCACTGCTTGTGAACTGCAGTCAAACTGTCAGACTAGGCAGCACTGATCAAATATGAGTCAAGAATCTGTCACTGTGTTGCCTCTTTCTCGCCTCAAAGATTTTCAGGAACACATTTTAGTGTTGGGGGACCAAATATGACAAAAAGTTCTTTTTTTATAAAAGTTACTGCTAATGCTTTAATCTGTCTTAGTTTTAGTGAGCCAATATTCTTTTACACAGCACACTTTTTTTGATTAATCTTCTGATTGTTTTCTGATAAACAGATTAATCGTTTAGTCTTTCAAAATGTATAAATAATACATCACAATTACTCACAGTCCAAGGTGACATTTTCACATGTCTTGCTTTGTTCAATTAAAAGCACTAATCCCCAAAATATTACATTTACAATAAGATGTAATTAAAACAGCAAATTGTCACATTTAAGAAGTTGGAACCAGCAAATATTTGATGCTTTTGGTTGAAAAATGACTAGAATAATTATTGAATAACAAAATAGTTGTAGATTATTTTTCTGTTGAGGGACTATTTGTGTAATTGAGTGTACAGTGTTTCCACTCTATGTTTATGTTTCACCTCAAAATGCACAGTATAAAATTAGGACTGGAAACCTGTTGATTCAGACACAGAAAGATGACACAATCCTTCCTTATGACAATGCTACAGAGAACATGACCACTAGGCCACATTTTTTCAAGCAGGCTCGACTGTTATAGTTCAGATAAAATGTTTTTGGTAAGGTCTTCAACAAAGATGTCAGGTGCATGATTAAATCCTATACTTTGCAGAGATGTATTACTGGAAACCAGTTGACCTTGTGGTGTCATTTGTGTGTGACAGGAACTTCTTAAAGGCCTTTCCACTGATGGGAGAGACTCAGGAAAGAGAGAGGGTCCTTGTACATTTCTCCAGACGCTTCTGCCACTGCAACCCACAAACACTCACCTCTGAAGGTCAGAGCTACGAGGGTGATGATGGGGATGACACTGATGGTATGAGGCACAATATTAACGTTGAAACAAACACGCGTTTTGCTTTAACTTATTATCATGAAGTAAATGTTGATTGCACAATGTAGTGGTGACAGAATTATGACACCATCTGCATTTAGATTGGTTCCCAAAAGTCTTTCAAGGTGCAATTCTGTCTGCCACTGGGTAAGATCTCCTGGGAAAATGAAGGCTTGATTTACAAAGGAAGTGCGTCAACTATTGCATAACTAAAACAGGAAGAGGATGATGCTTTTGTTTTCCCTGGTAGCTATTGGTAACCATTCCCAGTTACCAAAGAGTATCAGTGTAATTTCTTTGCAGTTACTGTCCCCAGTAACAGAAAAGGTGGAAGATGGAACAACTTAAAGAACTGTGGAAACTGTGGTAGTTGCTAGGCTCTGAGGAAAACAGAAAGTGATCCTGTTGTCTTTGGAACAGTTGCCATTCTGGCCAGTACCACTTAGAAATGCTGGGGGCGTTGAAAAGTTGTCTGTTTCCACTGTAAGAATAAAAGTCATAACAGCTGTGACAAAATATCACACCATAGGGTGTACGTCAGTCGTACATTACTGTTACAGTTCTCCATATTGATCCCAGTTAAACAAACAGTCATGACTGCAGCATACTGACACTGCAGTGTTGGAGTTATTCCTACTCGCATAATAATACTGAATCAACTCAGATCAGACACAGCATTAGCTGAAATTATTTTAGCACGGCGGCTATTTATACAGCTGTGCAGGTGTGTGTGTGATTTGTGTCTGCATGAACTATAAAGGAATGTATGGCACTGCATTTACATAAATTTGTGTGTGTGTGTAGAGGAGTGGCATGACATTTAGCTGACCTCGGCCTTGTGTATTGTGCTGTTGCAGATGGAGCCCACACATTAACCTGCGCCCTTATGCTGCTCAACACCGATCTACACGGACATGTATGTACTGTAGCTCTCCATCTTAGTCAGGATTCCCCTTCCTGTAATCTATCTGCAGAACAAAGTATAAAGACAGCCATTTGTCCGCAGTGACACGTCTTCATTCACATCATCTTCTCTGTGTGTTTCTCCTTCTTTCCACTACCCTCTCCTCTCTCTTTGTCTTTCTCCTCCGCGGCCTACTTTCTGACCTGTTTCTGTCTCCTCCTTTCCTCGAATAGTCTCATCTGTTCAGTTTTAAACTGGAGCACTGTGGTCCGGGCAGCATAACACGATCAGTATCATAGGTCCTGTGCTTTGCTTTTCCTCGCCCCTCCTGTCCCTGCTAATAGTACTGTTTAGTGAATATCCCTCCTCTAACTAATTTCCTTTCTCTCTTTTCAATTTCCTTTTCTCCCTTTCAAATCCTTCCCCTGATAACCAAATCTGGCCCCCTGGTCTCCCTCCACCCCTGCAGGTGGTAAGTATATTTATAGTATTAACACTGTCCTCATTGACATCTGTACCTCCTCTTGTCAGCTAGCGATAGAATTTAAGTCATGATTTTGAAGTTGATGTCATATTTTGCTCTTAATAAAGGATGCACACACAGCGATATATCAATTTTTCAATCATTGTTTTTTCAGCAGCACAAAAGATTAGTTGCTTAAAAATTATTTACCTAAATGAAAGAGTCAACAGCTGATTTTAATTTTAATTTGTTCTTCTTATAATAAAATGCAGCATTGGTTTAAGCAAGGAGAAATGCAGTCGATCTGCCCTTTTTCTCCTGTGCAGTGTTGCAAATCACATTATCTAAATTAGCGTGAAAATTTAAATACATTGAACAGCAGATTTAATGTTAGAAAGGCTATATTTTTCATAATATCAGATTTGAACTTAGTAAGAAACTAACCATTGCATTAAAATATAAGTCCATTTCTATATTTAGGACTCTATCCATTTGGATAATGGCTGTGAACTACACCACGTTACCTATTTGCCGGATATTATGAGTAAATGGAGCATAAAACATTTTGCGACGCATGTTACATCCCATCCTGGGTATTGGGTGCTTTTCCTGGAAAAGGGAGGAGTGTTGTCTTCTCTGTTACGTGGCCACTTCAGAGGAAAATGCGAATAAAAAGCAACAAACCAAACCCCCCCACCCCCCACCCCTTTTTTTTTTGTAACAGCAGCAAGTCAATTCAGTTTGTGTGTCACATCTGTATCTGTTTAGGTTGAAGGCTTTATTCAGGCAGAAATGGGCAGTAACACACACCTCCCTCTGTTTTCATTTTCTAATGATGCATCATAATTAGAGGTTAAAACACTAGGCAATGTGTGGTAAGCTGATATTCCATGAGCCCTAATAGAGGTGGAACCGTTCTCACCACCTCTACCAGTAGAACCTGCTGCATTACACTGCCACCCAGTGGATAGCTGAAAAACTGCATTCAGGTTGGAGAAGCTAAAACTGGGTTAAAATTAACTGCGGATACTGAGCTGAACTAAACACTGATCAAGTTGCCAACCCACATATAAAAATATCTAAATGTTTCAGCAAGGTAAAATTTTTATCTGAATCTTGAATTGATTGTCTTGTTTGTTTCTGTCTGTTTGTTTACCTCTCCTCAGAACATTGGGAAGAAGATGTCCTGCCAACAGTTTATCAGTAATCTAGACGGCCTCAACAATGGCAAAGACTTCCCTAAAGACTTATTAAAGGTACAGATTTTCTCCTGAGGAAAAAAATTTTTTTTTTTAAGTGATTGCAATTACGGTTATTTTGGGATTTATTGCGTAATTTGTTGCATGTAACGAGTTTCTTCCCAACACAAGCCTTTACCCACTTAGTTATTATATCCACATTACTGGTGATGACTGATCAAAAATTTCATTGTGTAAATATTTTGTGAAAGCACCATTAGTCAACCTTATCGTCGAAATATCGATTTGGAGGTATTTGGTCAAAAATGTCAGGATATTTGATTCTCTCCATATCACCCAGCTCTAACCACATCTGTCAGCTTGATCCTTTAAGTCTTAGCCTCAGAATTTAATTCTGTCTTTACATTCGAACCCTTCAATCCAATTAAAAGAAAATGTTTACAGTTTCTCCCCTTTCTTGCCGTACTCACACAGGTCTTGTACAACTCCATCAAGAATGAGAAGCTGGAGTGGGCAGTGTGAGTATGCATTTTGTGTTCATCAAAAGGAGAAGTATTTGGGGTATGTGAGTTTTTCAGAAGTAAGTACACTTGAATATGTGCTGCTCTGGTTTATCTGAATGGGTATTTGTGTGTGCAGTGAGGAGGAGGAGCTGAGGAAGAGTCTGTCAGAGCTGGTGGAGGAGCAATGTGAGGGCGGGAGTAAGCGTGTTGCCAGGGTAACGGACGGCAGTAACCCTTTCATTGCCATTCCCATTCTCTTAAATGCCGTCACCTACAAACATGGAGTGTTGACCCGCAAGAGCCACGCTGACATGGACGGCAAACGCAGTAAGTGATTGGACATTCACATTCACACACACACACACACACACACACACACACACGTACACACGTACACATGCATTATTAACTGAAATAAACAAATTCCTTATAAGTAACTGTAAAAAAAATATGTCAGAAAAGTTTATTAATTTCTTCTCTTCTAGCCCCGAGGGGTCGTCGTGGTTGGAAGAAGTTCTATGCGGTCCTGAAGGGGATGATCTTATATCTCCAGAAGGTACCGCATCTCGTCCTCTGCTCTGTTACCATAGAAACACACATCCACCACCACCGCCGTCATTGCGGTGGTGGATGCTGCTAGCTGCTCTCCTATGTGTGTGTGTGTGTGTGTGTGTGTGTTGGAGAGGGATTGAGATAGAGAGAGCATTAAGGGAGGAAATGAGGCATAGCCGCTCTGCTGTGTGTTTGTCTCCCCCTGCTGGTAGGAGGGCTGTACTAACCATATATACCATTGTGAAATGTTCAACCTCAATGAATTGAATTAGCTTCCATGTCTGTCACTAGCAGTGTGATATTTTCACCATGGTTTAACTTAATTATGTCATAGATGTATATATAGAAATAGTTGCTAATTTTTAGGTCCATTGTTTCTTTAATAAGGACTGTTCCTCAGAATGAAGTTGAGTGACGTCAATTTAGACGTTTGTTTCCTACAGATACCAACTAAATGTAAGCTACTCTTCTAATGCAAGCTATAAGAGACAAAATGACTGAATCATAAGAACATTAACGAATAGTTTTTTCCTTTACTTTCCCAGGATGAGTACAAGCCTGACGCTGACATTTCAGAGGTGGACCTGAAGAACGCAGTGCGGATCCACCACGCTTTAGCCACTCGTGCCACTGACTACAGCAAGAGAGCCAATGTACTGAAGCTCAAAACCTCAGACTGGAGAGTCTTTCTGCTGCATGCGCCGTAAGTCATCCAGGCTGAATTTAAGATGTTTTCATTCAGCCTCAAAAGTACAGGAAAGAAGACAGATATAATGGATCTTTCCATTTTATACACACTCTTTTAAGTTTTAAAATGTATGCGAAAGTTTTCAGTGAATGGCATTGCCCAAATTCATTAAGTACACTATCACTGGACCATCTTGTAACTTTGGTGATGATGATGAACTGATTGTGCTGCCTCTTCCATAACAGAATTTGTAAAGTACTTAATAATGCAAAATGTAGAAACAAAAAGCAAGCAGGCAGACTGAAGTGATGTGTTATGTTTGTCTGCCTGTCCATCTCCTCTGCTCTGTTATAGCACTATGGACAGTGCAGTACCTACACACACAGGCCCGGCCACTGCTCACAACACACAGCTGTCTGTGGGTTCTGAAACAACAGCCAAGTGATAGTCACATGTATTTTGGCCAGTGATGTTGTTGCTATTTTATACCACCAGCATTTTATCCAACATGATGCCATAATAAACAGTAATGTCTTCCCGACCATTATAAGACTTGGGTTCAGGGATTCTCCCTTATTTCCCTCTCTACCTTCACCTACTTGCACAAGTCCAAAGAAAGATAAACAACAAAACAAAACCTCAAAGTCGACACAGTGTAGTTTACCAGTAGTTTGCAACTGCATTTTTTTGAGTGGTAGAGGCACAGTCCTGATAGTCATTAGCTTGTCAATTGCTGTTAACTAGCCAAAAAGTCAGTTGTTTGTAGTTTTACTGTCCAACACCTTCATCCTCCACTCCATAAATCCACCAGCAAAGTGCCCGGCTCCCAGGCCATCTATACACGGGAGCCGACTGCAGGACGTGGTTCTGTTTTTGTCCCAATTAAACGCCCAGTCCCTTTTTGACAAATAAACGCCTGTGTCAGTTTGATGCCCCGTCTTGTTGCCAAGCAGTTCTTTTTTATAGACGTTCTTCGAATGAATCAAACCAGATTGTTGGCTACCTCAAATTATGTGTCCATTCCTTGATTACTCTGTAAGTTATTCATATTCCTTTAGTCTGTCAGGGTCCTCAGATCAAAAGAATCAAAACGGTTTTTCATAAAAATTAATCCAAGTTGTGAGTATTGTTTTTTCATCATAAAGAGGTGTTGTATCAGTATGCTGGGTGCAGTAATCCTCGAGTGTTGTAACTCACTGTCTTTCTCTCTGATGCTCTGCCTGTCGGAGCTAGATCAAACGAATGATTCATATTTAATATGTTATCTGAAGCCTAATTTTTAAACAATTAATATTCATACTGGTTTAAATAAACAATTTGATTGTGGTCCCTTTCTGTTTTGAGCAACAGTTTTGTGTGAGAGGAATTAAAGACCTGTCCCATATAGATGCCTGTTCCAAATGTAGGCCTTTTAATTTAAATGATTAAGCAAATAATAGTCTTGGTTATTGATTGAATTTTTTCGGTACCTTTTTTGTATGTATTAATTGGTGTTAATTACTTTTTTAAAATATGATTTCTTTATATTCTAGTTACATAGTCTGAATAGTCCTAAGAATTAAAAATGAATTGTTCTTTTTAAGGGTGTACTTGCATTATAATACATGCAATATATTATCATTATATCATTGGAATAAAATGATAATAATAATAATAATAATGATAATAATATTGTTTATCACAGTTGTTCTTGGGACAAGGCAAAGACAAGTTATTGTGACAGACCAACAAACCAAACTAAGTAATAGGCTCTGTCTGTCTGCCCATCTCTTCCGCTGTGTTTCATAGCTACGGACAGTGCCACACTGACACATGAAAAACAGTGTTGTCTGTGGGTTATGAAACAATAGCAAAGCGATAAGTCACATGTTTCTCTGCCAATAATTTGGCTGTTTTTTGCTATTTTATATATAATATAGATACATTGGCCTAAAGCTTAAACAGACTAGTGTTGTCACGATACTGGAATTTATAACTTCGATACAACACCTTGAAAAATAGCAAAATATGTGATGCCATTTTCAAAAATACAAATTTACATTGAGGGCATAAGATTTAAACAGTTTCAAATAATCAGAATTAATGTACATTGATAAATCGATATTTTTTTACAACACTAAGACAGAGGGGGGCAAAAAATACAACTAAGATAAGACTCCTCCTGGTGCCAGGTGTCAAAAAAAAGATAAGGATTCATTATTTAAAAAAACAAAACAAAACAAAAACATGATTTGACCATCACTTGAAAATATTCAAGACTTGACTCACTATATACTCACTACTACTACTACTTAGTTCTTAGTCAGGGACACCCCGAGTCAAAATAATAGTTGATAGTAAGTAGAGATGAAGAATCAGTCAATGAACTGGAACAGTTGTATATTTAATGTAATTCCCTCAGCCAGTTGAATGTACCAGGTTTTTGCCTTGTGAAAGAACATGTGAATGTGGCAAACAAAATATACATCAGTCAAACAATTTTCCCTGCACTCACCTGCTCTCTCGCCCCTCAGCGACATCTCACTTTACTCTCTCTGTCTCTCTCTCTCTCTCTCTCTCTCTCTTCAGTAGTGAGGAGGAGATGATGTCTTGGATCTTTCGGATAAACCTGGTGGCAGCGCTGTTCTCCGCTCCGGCCTTCCCTGCCGCCATCGGCTCCATGAAGAAATTCTGTCGGCCCATCCTGCCGTCTTCATCCACCAGACTCAAACAGGTACACACACACACACACACACACACACACACACACACACACACACACACAGATGATGACATAGATTACAGCAGCTGACACACTCTGCAGGCTCATATTTTCCCCCTAGAAACATAATATATTAGTGTAAATACAATCAATATCTAGTTATGACTGATATTTTGCATGTACATAATATACAGTTCATCACAGCAGCATGCAGAATCCTTATGCATTAAAAGTCTCTACACAGGGTTGGGGATTTTTGCATATTCTATTTGTGTCCCCTTGCATCTGATTGGCTGTTTTGGGGGTCTTCTGGTTTTTGTCTGGGTTGTGATTGGCTCAGGAGGAGCAGCTGCTGAGTCATGAGAGCAAGCTGAAGCAGATGAGCCTGGAGCTGGAGGAGCACCGGAAAAACTCGCCCTCAGCCGACCCTAAAAGCCGCGAGTGGGAGGAGTACCGGCTCAAAGAGCACTACCTCACGTACGAGGTACAGCTCCAGTTAATTTGTCTGCTTTTTTATGTTTCATTTTTATAGGGTTTTATGGTTTTGTTGGGGGGGGTTTTCAAGTTAAAGGGCAGCCAAGAGACCAAAAGGCATGACAGATGGCCAGTGTCACTTGTTTGCTGTTCTCTTTTCATACCCATACTCCTATTTTTTCACAGTATATCATTTAAAATGTTTCAGTTTTCATCAGATCATTAGAAAGGACGACTTTCAGAGGTGCACATAAAATCTCATGATAACTTAAACTATCAGTTTCTTCTATGAAAATCTCATTATTGGAAAAATAGATGTAGCTTTTGTGTTTTAACTGCATTTAACCATCAGTTGTCACATTAAAGGTCCAGTGTGCAGGGTTAAAGATCTATTGCCAAATGCTTTCATTAGTTTCTTATCACCTGGAAATAAGAATCATTGTGTTTTCATTACCTTTGAATGGGACGTTTATATCAACATAAGGAGTAGAACCTCTTTAACAAGGCCATGTTGTTTCTACAGTAGCCTAGAACGGACAAATCAAACACTGGCTCTAGATAGGGTCATTTGCGTTTTTGTGTCGCCCACCATAGTTCTCCTACATGCTTGGCACACGGGAGAAGTTTCAGTTCTGCAACCTCACCGCTGGATGCCACCAAATCCTACACACCGGACTTTAATGCCTCAATCAAGCTAAATATTAAACAGAAGCTCTGTCCAAATGTAGAATACGTTTTCAAGATAGCATAAATTAAAGCCAGTTATGAAATTAATTTGAGATTGGGCTGTGTTTAGACTGCAGGCTAATGTGGCCCACATTAGATTTTTTTGTGAACAACAGGAATCACATTGGAATCTGATCTTTCAATTTCAATTTTGGCCACTTACAAATGTGGTCCTACATCAGATAAATGTCTAAGTTTTTGCAATGCAACCTTAAATTAAACGGCCATATCGGAACTCGTGACTTTTACATCACTCTAGTTTCTTGCTGCAGATGTCTTGTGGAGAGGTGCTGACACATGTATCTGAAAGCAGCCCTTGACTTTCTGAAATCTTGGATGAAATGTGTTTCATTGAAGCTATTCATGTCATGATCCCACCGTTGCTGGTTATTTCGCATCCACTCCATGGATGTATAAAAAGAGCTGGATAAAGGGGCCCCGTTCATTCTTATAAACGTTGCTCATTGGCGCATAAAGCCAAAAAAAGTTCAACTTCCAATTATGAAATTACTCTGATCTTCTGCATCTTTCATGGGCCCATAGAGCAGACACACTAGCATTTCCTTCAACCTTGACTCCCACCCACTCGGCCTCAGGCTCACTCACACGAATGACATACAATAACTCTGAATTAGGCTGTTAGTAAATTTTGCAACTTTTATGTCATAACCATTTAAATAAGGGATATTTAGTGTTTACACTTGGAATTAGTTTTGCCTCGAAAAAAAAATTCCCCACTGATTTATAGATGTCTCTTTCCCAGTGAAAGTCTATGGGAAAAGTCTTTTTGGCCCCCATGGCATCTTGTGACAGAGCTGGAAGTCGAAATTTCACGGTTTGGCCACTATGTCAAATTGGCTTTACAGCCCAGCTCTGTTCCTGGGGGCTTGTCTTTGTTATCATCTACTCACAAATTCACTGGCTCCTCCTGCACCTATAAACGAGACTGTTAATGCTGACTTCAATAGCCTCCACGTTTACTTCGTTCAACCGTGTTCTGCATGTGATGTCTTTGTTGTTGTTCCTTTGCACACATTGGTCAGTTCAGGAATGGAATTTGACACTGGCCTCATTTTAAAAAACTATGTGAACATCCAAAAAAAATCCAAAACAGATATGAGCAATAAATCCCAATTTAACAGGAAGGTGTGCTTTAGCCTCTTGTTTCATCTTCTTTTGGTCTCACTTTCCCTCTTCTCCCCTCTCTCTGAGCAGAAGACTCGGTATGAGACGTACATCAACCTCCTGCAGGCCAAAATCCGTGCAGAGACGGACGACCTTGAGAAGATCGAGGCCAGCGTGATGGGTGGCCTGATCATGGAGGGCGGCCTGGTCGGCCGGGAGTGCCACCTCCGCAAGACGCAGTCCTCTCCATCCATTAGTCAGGCTCAAGGCGGGCTGAACGGGAGGGCCACTGGATGCACTGCCCCAGGACAGAGGAGCTGAGGGGAGGCAGTAGGACCAGTGACCACAGCCCACAAAACAACATCCCTCCAAGCCAAACCAGCTGAATCCTCCAACCTCTGACTGGGTTTTTCTGTTAGAATTTTGTGTTTTGGGCTCCTCCGTTCCTCCTGTTGTACTTACAATATGAAGGTCGGTAGCAACAGGAGAAATGACTGTCACTATCCTTCCCAGACTTTATCGACCCTGATGATAAGTTTCTTTCCTTGAGCAATAGATGAAGAAGATGAAGACCCAACAAGTGACCCTGCCAAACCTCAGTCCTTTGAACTTTTATTATTGCACATTAAAATGATCATAACTGTGATCACTATTTATAACAACATCATCAGTATTATTTTGAAATTACACTCAGAGCAATGCAGTTGTCTGTAGTGGACATGTGTTTTTAGTTACGAGCAGAGCTTTGAGTAATTTATAAAGTATCAGTTTAAGGCCAGAAAGAGGACAAAGAGTGAGAGACAGACTGGTTTGCCTTTGTCCTCTCTGTCCTGTCTTCGTCCTGCAGTCCAGGAGTCAGACAGTGATTCAGATGGAGATGGTACTACTGTAGCATTTTGGCCTTTTATTTCGTGTTTACACACCCAGCCGCTCACAGGCGTGTGTATGGACCTACAGTGATGGTGGACAGTGGTGTGTGAAGATACAACATATCTGTCCCAGAGTTACAAAAAACTCTCAGAGGAACTTCTCAGAAGGATCAAGTCCCTGCCATGTATAGCATATTTATTTATTTATTTAATTCTCCAAACCTTTATTCACCCCAGGAAGGGTTTACACTGAGCATGCTCGCTCTTTTTCCGTCTCGACATTCATACAGTTAACATTTGTTAGTGTAAAGGAGCTGCCAAAAGGAACAACTGTGGTTTTAACTGTTCACTAAGCTGCTCCACCAGAGGAACTGGAGGTTGAGTGCCTTACCCAAGGGCACCTTGACACTAGATGTTGAGGGATTTAGAGAGTGTTAGTCAGTCACTTGTCAGAGAGATCACAAGTCTGTGTCTGTGATTTTTAAGCTGCCGCTACCCCAAATACTGACGCGTATTCAATTATTCTGTTTGCTTTTCTAACAAATCAAATCGGAACTGAAGAGGAGAGCGGTATGTGACTGAATGAAAGCACTGTGCCATGTTCTGTTTTATCCCACAAACTACTCTTCTTATATCACAACAGCGTGCACTGAGCTGATATATGTAACAATATATGGTTGGGTGTGAGGTTTCTTAAGTTAGATGTGAAGGGCAGAACAGGAAGTAGTGGGTGAGAGGCATACCGTATGAGTGGGTCAGCTGGTATGTGTGTGTGTGTGTGTGTGTGTGTGTGCACATGCATGTGTCTGTGTGTGTGTGCATCGGCATGCTCTTTTTAAGCGGTTCCAGTTGAGATGTTGAAGCAGTAGGCAACAGGAAGAAGTAAATATAGCAGGGTCAAGTTTTTCTATGAAGAATTTATAAAGCATGTTTGGTGAGAATCAATCCAACGGCCTTCTGCTGAATAAGACCGCCATCACAACGAGGCCTGGATCTCTCAAAAGCATCTTCAGCACGGAGGCAGACATCATCTTTGTGACAAAATATGTACCTCATCTCTTAAAGAGGACCTATGATGCTTTTCTTTATTTTCTGGCATATATGAAATGTTATGATTAAACATGTTCATATCAAACATGGCCAAGGTTTCAAATAATGAGGTAACCACATGTAAAAGTAACCCCTGTGAGCAAAGATGTCAGGCCATGCACCATTCTTAATACTCTCTGAATACTCTGAATAGTGTTTATATTACAGAGCCATTACTATTACATGTAGCTACGTGCTAACGTAAATTTAATGTTAATTTCTCTCCAATTTCGGATCATATTCTTGGTGGAACATGTCTGACTGTGAACATTTTGTTTTAGAAGCTTTTGGTAGTGATAAAACTGTGGCTTTACTAGAGATGCACTGATCCAGCTTTTTCAGTTTCGATACCTATCCCGATGCTGTGGCTTTGAGTGTCAGCTGATACCCGATACCGATCCGATACCATGGTTGACCTAAAAAGCTATATACCTTTACATGTAGAACAGAAAAGACTAGAGGCATCAGGCATTGATGACTACACAGTTCTTTCCTAAGATAAAACAAGATGAAACAGATTAATTCAATGATGAACTATTTATTTTTAACAAAATAAACAATTGTGCAACAGCAGTTGAAATAGTGTGAAATACCTTCACACATCAGATTCTCTCCTGTGCTCCATGACGTATGACGTAGCTTGCGTCGCAATAGATTTAAAGGGAAAGGATTGCCTCAGATATAGGTTTAATTTTCCGAGACCCGATCCATCTATTTTAATGATAGCAGGGCCGATATTTGATCCAGATATCGGATCGGTGCATCCCTAGGCTTTACTGTGTTACAGTTGCTCCCTGACTGCAAGTTCACTGCTACCAAAAGGCAACCTGCCAAAAAGTTCCTCAAATGGCCACTGAAGCGAGGGAATCCCCATAGACCTTGTGTTAAAATGCCCAACTTTACAGCAGAAATAAACATGTTCACAGCCTGGTTCAAAAACAGATTTGGTCTCGATAGCTAATTCCAACATTCAAGACACTGAATTTTTTTTAAAAATTAAGGCTCAAAGTTAAACATTCAAGGGTGGGGCCATTTGAGTGATAGGCTGCCTGTGAGGCGTTGCTGCTGTCCAGGAGTCAGATCCACCCCTTGCTCCTCCACATCTCCACCTTCTCGTACAAACATGGTCACTTCTGGGTCCAAAAAAAAAAAAGATAGGGACGGCCAAAATGCCAAACTCGAGGCTTCAAAACGGGAGTCTAAAAAATCCTGGAGGTGACATCATGGTAGCTATGGCTATTTTTTTGTACGGTCTTTGACTGTCATATGTGGCTATATGCTATTGTCAGGGAAACATGCAGTCCTGGTTGTGAGTTTGCTGTTTTCTCCCAAATTTTGAATCATGTTCCCGCTGGAATATGTCCGGTTGTAAAGACTTTGGTTATTAGGTGATTTCTCACAGTAGAAAGTGCAGCTATACTTCATAACAGTCATTCTCAGATTGCATTGACAGTGCAGAGATGCCAAGATGGAGAAGACCTGGACACACTGATGAATCAGAGCAGATTGGGCTTTTTCGGGAGGGGGCTTAAAGAGACAGGGTGAATACATCTATATTCTATCAGACAGTATTTTGGAACATTAAAGCATGTAAACATGTTCCAATACAAACCCACAAAACATCATTGAAACAGAAAATAAGCATCACAGGTCCCCTTTAAAACAGAAAATCTAACCAATCTTATGTTCTGATTGCTAACATGGACCTTTCACAGCTTGCTTGGCCTCGTAATGGACATTTACTCATACTGATGTATTCTTTCCACTGCCATTCTTCTTAACAGTTGAACATGTTTTTGGGAAAACAGGCCTTGGCCTATCTTAGACAGAGACTGGCTGATTGGAGAGTGTAGCAGCAGGACTGCTCCAGCTTAACGTGTTAAGTCAAGAAACCTGTCAGCGTACTGGAATGAGCAGCAAAACAACTCCACCAGCAGAGTAGCCATCAAAACATCCTCCACGTGGAGGATGACGAGGAGAAAAGACTTGTTTTCTAAGAAGACTGGTTTGGTTTTCTGAGTATGACTGACTCTGCCAGCTAAGAACAGCCAGAACAGACGTCCAGCACATGTTTTTCCAAACAGAGGAACACAACATATTACGCCTGTTTCTTATGGAAGGAGGACTTGTGTAATCTGAGGAAGTGTGGATGTGGTGGTAGGTGTGGCAGTACTGCTGTTTGTGAGCACCTTAATAGATCCCAACCCGCCCAAACACACACACACACACACACACACACACACACCCCTTTTCTCTTTCTCCGTAATTTGCTTATGACACAACTGTAGATCAGTGAGCTTAGTGTGCCCTCACTCAGCCTCAGTGTGGCACAGAAGCATGTTGACATAACCAGAGCTGTGGATATCGACAGTATGATCAGTCTTTGGCTCTGGACACAGCGCTTCTGTTGCTTCGTATATCATATTAATAGTGACTGATAGGATCTGAGATCCTTTTGGGACTTGGCTGGAAACCTGGAATCACAGCTGGAATCCTGGAGCCGGATCCTTGTACAGACCAAAACGCTGAAGTGGAGCTGAGTTTTCAGAGAGGAAGTACCATTTTATAAAGCTGTATTGTTAGGATAAATAACTGCTTTCTTACAGGGAGACTTCCCCTTATAGTCACTTTGGCTGTTGTGCTAACCATTGTTTCCCGATGTTCTAGGGTAGGCCTGTGCTGTAATATAGGATTGTGACAAAAAAAAAAAATTGTTGATTGTTATGTTTTATTTTAAAAAAAAAAAGAAAAAAGAAAAGACAACTTGGGCACTTTGATGTCAGCATTGGATCTGTCTTTTTGTTTGTTTTGTTTGTATATCTGAACTGTTCTTTGACAGGATGCTTATACTATGTAAAGGACATATTTACTGAATATTTAGTCTGTGCTTCATAAAGTAAGCTTTTATACAGATGATTGTGGTCATGATTTATTCACATTGTCAACTCCGATTTAAAGAAAACCGTTAGTGTCTCACTGGTTCCCTCGTCAAAACGCCAATGGGATTTTTCCATTATATTTTGGATTATTGACAAAAATAAGCTCTGTGGCACGTTTATAATACTTACATGTTTTGTTCAGCAAGATAATCTTCACAAGTGAACACCACTTTAATGTTTTTTTAAGTGTCAATGCAATTGTCAGATGTAAATAGCTATTGTTAGGCTGTAAACTAATCAAACTGTGGTCACATGACTTACCACCCCCACCACAACGGGGCTGTAAACCCATATTTGGAATGATGTTCTGTCGTCTTGTTTAACCACTTGTCACCAACCGCCTTTTTAAAGACACATAAAAGCGTATTTATTGATGTCTTTTATGTTGTAGGACAAAACTTGAAAGTCTCTTAAGCTTGCGTTAACCACAGAGCTTATTTTAGGCATCTAACTATAAACCTGTTGACTTTGAGAGGAGGGAACTAGGAGTGCAAAAATGCTAACTCATTTCTGGATTTCAGAACTCATTCTTGCACCGCTCTATTGACATCTATGATGTTATGTAGGTATTTCTTCGTGTAATAATACAAATATATTTTGTTCTGAACTTTAGTGCTATGTATTATTTCCAGCATAGGTAAAAGCACATTTAAAGGATGCTCATTAATGTCAAACTTCCATTCCAAAGTTTTTAAAAATGCTAAAAAAAAAGTGGGCAAAAGGTTAAACTTCAGTATTTTCAACCTGGACTCTGTTTTCCCATGATTTTGTGTCTAAGTGACTAATAGAGAAAACCATTTTCAAAATTGATCCAGTATCAAAAAGAGAGCCCTGCTGCAAACAGGCTGCCATGTAACCACTCTGGGCAATCGTTCACCATCAGTTTACATCCACTGAAAGTGCTTGGTTTGCCACTGACAGGCTTAGATTGTGTTGCACAACATTATGGGAAAGACCCTACAGAGAATTGAAATATCTTCCCTTACCTTTTGCTGATGTCTGTTTCTTACCGAGTGTAATCACATCTCAGTTAGGGAGAAGCCTTGACTTTTCAGCATTGTCAAAATCATTGAAATATTCAGCCATGACATTGAAAATCTTTTAGATAATATTCACTGTGTACACTTTCTGTACTCCAACACAACAAACTCTTCTTGGTACTCCTCTCTCCAACCCTCAGTAAGGTTCCCACTGTTTTCTTTTTTCCTGCGACATGTCACCTCTTGCAAGATTTCAGAACGAGACTTCTCCTTGAGCAAGACTTGAACACAATACCAAACAGACCAGTGAACGGCAAAGAAAAATGTTTCATTTCTCTGTAGGGTGCTTTCTGTACTGTTCTCCAACACTTAGGATAACAATCTGAGCCTGTCAGTGGCAAAAATAAGCATTAATGGATGTTGCTGTGACCACTTTCAAAAATGGTTGCCTCCATTTGGTCTCTTGGACACAAAAACACAAGAGAAAAGGGTCCAGGTTTAAACAACACCGTAGTTTATCTGATTTAAAACAGTATGGCGTGTTGAGCCATTTTCAACCCATGAAATGTCAGTATTAACATCAGCAATGATGTGTTTCATCAAAGTACAGTAATATAGTTTACAGCTAAATTAATGCAGTAACTCTTTTATAGGTTTAGTCTGCAGTTAAGAGCTACATTTGAAAGTTAGCATGAGTCAAATCCAGTATAAAACAGCTTTGTAGCCAGAGACAATAAAGTGTCAATGTGTACGAGCACACAGTATCCTTGATCCTCAAACAAGTAATTATTGTAGAGTTCACCTTTCAGTAAGGACTTCAGCCCAAGTCAGAAAACTGTTACATGTATCATGCCATAACACACACTACATTTCACCAAATAAAAATGTGAGAGTCCATACCCACACACCTTTTTAAAACTGTATAGTGTAGCATAACAACAGACACACTGGTTGAAGTATGAACTAATGTGTATGAGTGAAGCATTCATATGCATGGAGTAGCTTCAGGTAAATTGCAGTGTAACACATTGCTGTATCTCCCCCTGTTTTCTTTTAATGCATCAGATCTAAACTTTAAAGGCACCGCCCTCTTGACCACTTAAATTTCCCCCGCAGGTGTCTTGCAGTATTTCTCCTGCATCAGCGGTGTTGGAGAGGCTCAGCTACAGCAGCTCAGAGATGCTGACTACATACATAAACTTGTGTCATGATACTGACTGCTGATACTTCCCACCAGTGTCAAATACACGTGGTTATTTGTGAGCTGTTTTGACCTTGAAATGACTCATCTATAATTACATGTTGGATACAAAACCAAAATACTGTAACCTTTTTATAGTTATAGCTCATAAACTGTTTTCATCTCATTATTTGGACTGATGGAACAAGATAAACATTTCAGTTCATTTTTAGCTTTATATCATTATGGTAACTTCAAAATGTACATAGTTTAACATTTTATCAAATGGATGTTGTGTTCAAT